CTAGAAAATAATAACAAACGAATACCTTTTTAAAAACCCACTTATTTGAAATGTGTTCTTCTAATTAAAGCTAAAAGGTTGAATACTCTGATTAAAGAGAATTCAAAACTATAATTTCAAACTTATTTAGAAATTAAAACATAGATCACTATATATGAAAATATATTAAATATAGTCAAGTATTAGATGTACTCAGAAGAAAATTCACAGCCCTAAGCATTTTTTTTTATTGGAGGGAAGAATGAAAATTAATAAATTAAGCAATCAAGGGAAAATTTTTTAAAAAAATCCTACCACAAAATAAAAGAGATAAAAAGAATATTATAAAAACAAATATGAATAAATTATAAAATAAAAACAGAAGCAATGATAAATGCATCCAAGAACTAATTTATAGGCACAAGTCTCTCCAATCCAGTTATTGTAAAAAAGGAGATGGAGGTGAGAAGTAGGGACAAGACTTGAAATCAAGCCAAGGGAAAAAAATCATTAAAAAATCAACATTCAAAACTTTCTGCAACAAAGACACCAGACAGTAAAGGGGAAAGAGCTGGGAGAAGAGATTTGCAATATATAACTTAGAGGGCTAGTATCAAAAATACAAAAATAATTTTTACAAATAATTAGGAAAACATAGCCAGTGGAAGAATGGACAAATGACGTGAACAGGGAATGCACAGAAGATGAAATATAAATGGCCAGTAAATATTGAAAGGAAGCAGAACCCTTTTTGGTGTTCAGGAAAATAAAAAAATTAAAACCATAATGAAATGATAACCTTTCTCCCATCCGACTGGCAAAAAGAAAACACTACATACATGAATACCTGTGTTACAAAGGTCTGATGAAATCTAACCTCTCAGAAGGGAAATGTGGCAATGGTTATCAAAAATTAAAATGTGCACGCACAGCCGTTTACACTGAAAATTCACTCTCCAGAATGGGCCCTTGAGAAATCCTCATACTTACTACGCAGAAAGAGCTTTGCAAGGATTTTCCGCAGCACTGTTATTTCTAGTTAGCAAATAAGAAACAACTTAAATCTATTATTAGGGAAGAGAATACTACTCAGCTGGAAAAACAGCAAATGAATAAATGAATAAATGAATGAATGAAGCAACAGAGGGGAAAGAGTAGGGAGAAGAGATTCAAATAAGTAAGCAGCTACATGTAATCAGCTAATTGTAGGTGAATAAGAATATTGTTATATTTTTTATAGAAAAAAATACAAAAATATAATAATTTAAATGATGATTCATATATATATGCAAATACATAGGGGAAAAGCCCGAAAGTCCATGACTTTCTAAGAGTTTACTTCTAAGAGCGGATTTGGGGTTGAGAGTTGTCAGAGGAACTTCTGGTTCTTTTTGTATTGTTTGAATTCTGAGCTGAGAGAACAAATTCATGTAATACTTGCATAACTTTAAAATAGTCTTAAAAAAATTCTTGGTGGTAATTTTGAATTCCAAGAACATATTCATGCATTACTTGTATAATTTTATAAAATATACAAAGAAAAAAACTTTTAAATTCTGAGGCTATTTCTGGACTCCAAAGATAAAGAGAAAAAATACCAAAGGATTCCCACGGGCGGAGAAATGTTTACCTACAAAAAAAATAGATAATCAGGCCCGCTATTGTTCCTGTTTAAGAGGGGGAAAGACATTTCCAGATATGCAAGAATTCACTAAGTATATTGCCCACACACACAGTGAATATCACTCAGAGGTACTTCAGCCAAACAAAGAACACACACACACACACACACACACACACACACACACACGAAATGCCTAAGTAATTGTGACATTTACTATACCTGCTAGGTAGCTGTTGGGAAGCTAAGGTTTCCTAGGAATGTGTCCACTTCTTCTAAACATTCCAATTTATTGCTCCAGATTGTTCAATGCATTCTGGTCTTTTAAACTTCTATTGTATCTATAATTATTGTACTTTTTACTCCTAATATTATTTATTTACAACTTCTGTCTTTTTTTTCTTGCTCACCATTACCAGAAATGTCTACTTAATTAGTCCTCCATTAAAATAAATAAAATGATAAAGCCAGGAATTTACTGTCAATATCGGAAAAACATATGCACAAGATTATCCATTCTCATATTATTCACATTGGCAAAATATTGAAAACAACCTAAACATCCACATGTAGAAAATTAGCTGAGAATATTATAGTACTTCTACATAGTGGACAGCTATGCAGCTATTAAAAATAACAAAGTGAGGAAGATCTCTATAAACTGATTTACCATAGTTTTCAGGATGTCGTTAAGAAGAAGAAAAAAAAACCACGGGAGAAAAGAGTTATATAATTTACTTTTACAAAAAGAAATGGGAAGAATAAAATATTTGCTTCCAGGGTATGGGTGGGAAGGAGGTAGGAGGAATGGAGAGGAGAATGAAACTTTTATTATGAGTTTTGATATAGCTTTGACTTTTGAGTCATGTTGATATTTTATATATTTCCAAAAATAAATCATTAAGAATGGGAAACAAATGAAAGTTAATAATAGAAATGAATAAACTTAATTGTATATAAAATAAATAGCATAAACACAATAGAAGAAAAAATTGAAACAACTTTTAAACATGGCTCTCTGATTATATACTCTCAGTTGGATATATTCAATGGAGAAAAAAAACTTCAAAGAAATCTTGGGCAACTGACATAGCAATTCTGAAAGTCTTTTAATTACATGTATCTATGAAAGAAAAGAGAATCAGAATATGTTGCTGTTGGATCCTCATTCAGGGAGTAGGGAGATATAACTATGGAATGAAGGAGCGGAAGAACTGAGATGTTGGATTAGAATTAGAGGTATTAGTATAAACTCACGATTTTTTAAAAGTCACACTTCCTAACCCTGTCTGCTCAGATGGCCTAGCAACAACGGCACTCTGGCAACAATGAGCACACCCAGAATCCAGACCTTGGTTTCTAAGCACCATTACCCTCTGAGAGGAACCAGGGCTCTTTGGAGAAATGGATGATTCCAGGACTGGGACACAGAAACTACAAGATGAGTCTGGAATAGCCATATTTTGTGCCATAAAGTAGTTAAGTACTCAAAGAATAAGAAGGCAAGGGGGGGGTGGGCAATATGGATAGGGACATCTGTAATACTGACAACAATAAATAAATAAATAAATAAATAAATAAATAAGGCATGTCAAATGAACAAAAGAGTTCCTTTTGGTCAAATTTGGCATTGTTTGTATATCAAAATGAATAATGGCAGAAGTAAATTATTACCCCTTGGATACAAAAAATACATGAAACCATATTGATAGTTGCAAGAAGGAGGCAGTAGGGAAATCTCTTATTTATAAGAGGTTACCAAATATTAAACATAGAAGGAATAGTATTTATGAAATATATAGGAAGCTTTGAGACTAGGTCAATATCCTGTTTCCAATCAGGTTTTCACCCAGGGATCTTAACATTTGTTGGTCATTCTTGTCTGTTTCTAGTTTTAAGCTAATATGAAGAAAGCTACTACAAACATTCACATCTAGATCTTTGGGTGAATGTGTTTTCATTTCTCTTAAAGTAAACACCTAAAATTAGGATTGTTGGCTCACATTGTAAGTGTATGTTTAATTTTATAAGCGACTGCAATGCCATTTTACAACCCCCTGCCCCAGTCCTGATTCTAGGATCACACACTGCATTTAGCTCTTATCTCTTTAACCTTTTAGGTATAATTAAAGAGAAATGAGAAAAAAAAAATATATATATATACTGAGTGGCTGGATTATTATGATCTCTGAATGCATAATAATCTGGCCACTCAGTGTGTGTGTGTGTGTGTGTGTGTGTGTGTATGGCCCAGTGCATGAATTTGTGCATGGGTGGGGTCCAGCCAGCTTGGCCAAGGGGAAGGGACCTGGGCAGTTGGCTGGCCTGCCTGCTGGTGGAACTCCTGGTCGAAGGGACAATTTGCATATTAGCCTTTTGTTATATAGGATATACACTGAGTGGCCAGAGATACACTGCGTTCAGAGATCATAATAATCTGGCCACTCAGTGTGTGTGTGTGTATGATTTGTACAATCATATTCAAAGCAGCACTGTTTGGTTGTGAACTCCAAATTGGAACAACTCAAATTTTCACCAACAGTAGGATGAATAAAGAAGTTTCAATATTGTTATAACAATGGAATATTATGCAGCAAAGAAAAATAAACTAATACCACATAAAACAATATGGACACATCTCACAACTTTTAGTAAAAAAAAAAAAACAAAGGCCCCAAAAATGTACACACTGATGATCCCATTCCCCTAAAGTTCAATAGCAGGCCAAGTGAGAATACCGTGAAGAAGGGCAGAAAAGTGGCTTCCTGTGGTGTGGGCGGAGTGACGGGGGGCGTTCTGAGATTATATCAGCGGTCGCCAATTGGTCCATGAGGTACGAAAGGTTGGTGACCGCCTCTCTAAATCTTTCTCTAAGTGATGTCACTTGGATAAGCTCACTTGGTGAAAAATTAGCAAGCTGTGTATACCTTGACAATGACTGTACCTCTCTGTATATTTGTTTTACTTTTAATGTAAAAAAATTTTAAAGTAAACATAACCCTGATTCTAAAAGTGAACAGTATGAAGACTGAATCCTTTCTGAGTTCATTTTAAACCTTCGTTTTCGGAAATCAGCCTTACTCTCCAACTTCCCAAGATTTGGGGAAACTTCCCTGTAACTAATGAGCATGTCTTAATGATAACAGTCAGGACGGAAAGCGTGCGGGGATGAAGGCTCACACAGGGCTCTGTGTTACACTGGGACACCTTCTACCAGAGAGAAGTTTGACAATAAAACCCAGAGAATAAAAAAGAAATGTATGCTGCGTTAGCCGGTTCTTCACTTCCAGGATTTTAGCCTAAATCAACAACTCAGTCAAATCATTATGAGCAATGACATATAATTCTATATTAAATTTTTTTTTGGAAAAATAGAAAATCCTGTGAAGGTAATACTTACAATTGGCGTCCCAAAAGGAATGTAACCTGCGAGAGGAGAGAGAAGAGTCAGGCCTCACACTCCCGCCCACTCTGCCCCTCGGATCTCTCAGTTTACACATTGGGGCGACTTCCGGGCTTGGTCTTGGCAGTGGCCTCCATGAAGGGGTGCAGGTCCCTTAGTGGAGAGGCACCTCTAGTCCCTAGACTTTTTCCCAGCTCAGTCCTCCCAGAGCAGAGGCCTCCCCTGCGTCCCAGCCTCCCTCCCTCTGTTCCCCTTTATCCAGACAGTTCTCATTCCCCTCCAAAGCCCAGGGCCCATTCCTGAAGCAGGCGGGCACCCCTCCCCACACTGGGTGGTCCTCCCATCATGCCCTCCTGAGGCGCCATGCCCCTGCCCCTCACTGCACACACTGCAGTGTCTTCAAAGGCCCTGGCACATCCCTCAGCCTCTTTCTAGCACGCACCCTCCCTTCCCGGCATCATGGCCATTTGTAGAAAGGAAATTCCCCACCCACCGGAGAGGTGTACCTCTAAATGCCAGAGCTCATCCATCGCTGGTGCCTGCAAGACCCCCTCACAGAGCAGCTCGGGGCTGGTGTGAAGCCCATCCGGCCCTGGGCACTGTTCATGGCCCCTGGATCAGGGCAAGGCTCCTCCCACCACCCGCACTGCTGTCACAGGCGGCTGCTTGTCCCGTCCCCAGCCTCTAACCATGGCAGCTGGTAGCTGGATAGCAGCCAGCCACACTCATTTTTCTGAGCTACACGTAAAGCAAAGGTTAGCATCCTCAGGGTGTGTCACTGTGCACGCACGTGAGCCAGTGCCTTCCTACCCGCATTCTCCGGAGAGAGGTCCAGAGCTTGATGGGAGAATTGCAAAAGAAACCAGGCTCAGGGTGAGAGCCTGCTGTGGCCTCGTGCAGGGACTGGAGAGCACCCACAGCTGTAAGGTGCTCCCAGCCTGCGCTTCCTTGGAGTTCCTCATGGCAAGGCAAGGGGGTCACCTGGCAGTAATTGCCCCGGTTTGCACAAGGATATCACATGGCTATTTATTCATCTCCCCCCTCTGAGGTCAGGCTCTCTGAGGGTGGGGGCCCTGACTGACCTACCCAACTGGGAACACCCACTGGTAGAGCCCCTTCCTCCAGCTGCTAAGGACTTCCCAAGGTGGCACCCAGCAGCCACCCAGCCACCCTGTACCTCGGGTCTGACTCCGGGCAAGACCTGTAGCCTTTTAGCTCTGCAGGCAGGATTACCCGCCAGCCCTGTATGTGCGCAAGTCTTTCTGGGCTGTCAGGTTCATAACACAGAGCGGTCCTTCTAGTGACCTCAGGGCGGGGACTTCCCAGGAGGCGGGCACCTCACAGCTACTCCCCCATGCCCTCTGCCCACTGGTCTGCACAGAATGGAACTTGCCATCGCTGTGTGCGCAGCAGGACACATAAGGTGCGGGCTTTCTGGCCGGCAGGTTAACAGCAGGTTCAGAGACCAGCGAGTTCGTCTGGGGATTGACTCCTGAAAGGGCCTGGGGGCTGGGGGGTGGGCAGTGCGTGCACAGGTAGGAGGATGACTCCTGGGAGGCAGGGTTACCCTGGAGGCTGCCAATAAGTGGGTAGCGTATAACCTGGGAGTAACCTGTGGAGGCCCCACTCCACCCCAGCTGCTCAGACAGAAAAGGCACTTATTTTGTTTTTAGAAAAGGCACATTTAAAAAAAAAAAAAAAAAAAAAAAAAAAAAGGCTCCTTAGGTGATTCTGAAGCGTGGCTAGCATCTTATACAGCTGACTCAATGTTAATATGCAGGTGCCAGTGTGGCCACATGTGGGTGTCACAGACTCCCTCCCCCCCCCCAGGCCGGCACAGCCGGAGGGTCCTGGAGCTGTGACATGGTAACAGGCCCTGGCTGAGCGGAAGCAGAGGTCCCGGGGGCTCACCTGACATTCGAAAGGGCATGAAGATCTTCTCGTTGGTGTCCGGGTGTAGAATAGCCTGGCAAGAGCAAGGAGCAGAGCACAGGTGACATGGGGAGAGGGAGGGGGCATAGGGAGAGGAAGGGGGAGAGGTGGGGAAGGACAGCTCCCCAGGAGGACTCAGAGGGCCAGTGGCTGTGTCCTGCCTTCCGTCAGTCAGTCCTTTCCCACTGTGTGAGGCAAGAGGCAGCAAAAACACAGCCCCAAACAGCACATATCCTCTGACTAATGCTCGAAGCTGGTCACAGGGAGGGTGGGACTGTGCCTGCCTCTCAGGCTCCCTAAACGCCTGAGCCTGGAACATAGTAGGCATGGAATAAGGACTGTGGGGAAGGCACTATAGGGAAGGAGCTTAGGGGCCTAGGCTGTAGTGGTCAGCAAACTGCGATCGTGAGCCGCGGTCTGCCGCTGTGTTGACTAATAAGTTTGCCAACTACTGGCCGAGCTCTAGTCTTCAAAAGCTCAGGTCCTGGCCGGGATCGGTTTGGCTCAGTGGATAGAGCGTCGGCCTGCGGACTGAAGGGTCCCGGGTTCGATCAGGTCCTGGATACTTGCTTTGGGAAAAGGCGAGGAACAAGGGGAGTGAAGAGATATGGGGCCACAACCAAAGGATCCCTGGGACAAGTGGGGGCAGGGTCCAGGAGAGGTCAGGGGAGGGAAGGAAAAGAAGCCAAAATTGGATTACCTGCTTGATTTTCTGTGCACTCCAGAGCTGGAAGGAAGGAAAAGAGAGAGAGTGAGTGAGTGAAAAAAATTAAAGCACATACCCCTTCAGGTCTCAAAGTCACATTTCTAACCAAGAGATCTAGCTGCAAAGGGCTTAAAAGGCTCAGGCTGCACCGGTGCCCCCAGGTCTGGCAGCTACTCTGAGGGTGTGGTGTCAGGGACCCCAGAACAGCAGAGCAAGGGGATCTCACACAGATCATTTAAATGAAGGGTTCTCAACCCTGGCCGCTGTAAGGTTGCTTAAAGAATTCTTCCAGGAGAAAACCAAGATGGTGGCAGAGGTAAACACTAAACTGCAGCCTCGCACAACAATTTCAAAACTACAACTAAAAGACAAAATGGAGATCATCCTGAACACAGGAAGGCTGGCTGAGTGGAAATTCTACAACTAGAAAGAGAAAAGCACACTGAGACTCACAGGAGCTACTAAAGGCAGAGGTACGAAGGTGCACCCACTGAGAGGGCTGGAAGCTGAGTATGCAGCTGTCTTTCTCAAGCAGGAGAGAAACAAAAGCTCCTGAAGGCTCTGAACTCCAGTTCTAGGTGAGACTCTGGGGACCCAGACTCATTCAGGGAGAAACTGGACTATCTGGCAGGAGGCGAAACTCGAGGGTGGCTTTCTCTCAGAGATGCTTGCAGCAATTACCGCAGGACACTGAGAACCAGGAGCCTCTTAGGGTAGGGCTGACGGGAAGCCATCGCTGTTTGCTTTGCCCTGAGATCCCACCACATGAAGCCATTGCTGATTGCTCCGCCCTGAGACTCCACCCCATTCAAGCTGAGCACAAAAGCTTTTGCAAGTCTGTCTCCTAAGGATGTTTCCAGCACAGAAGTTCTCCCAGCATAGACACAGCTGATCCTTACAGCCAATTGGCCTGGAGGTCAATTCCTCCCAGTAATACCAACAACAATCAAGGCTTAACTACAACAAGACTATGCACACAGCCCACAAAAGAGTGCACCAAGAGTGTCCACCTCAGGTACCTGGGGAAGCTGAGCCACAGGACCCTATCGGACACCTAGCACACAAAGCCACTCTATCGGCTCAGGGAAGCAGCCAAAATGCGGAGATAAAGAAACAGGTCACAAATGAAAGAAATGGAGAAAAGCAAATGACTGGATATAGAGTTCAAAACCATGATTATAAGGTTTTTCAAGAATTTTCTAGAAAAGGCTAATAAATTTAGCAAGACCCTCAAGGATATGAAAAAGGACCAACTAGAAATTAAGCATACACTGACTGAAATAAAAAAGTAATATATAGAGATCTAATAAAAGACTAGATGATCGCAAGAATCAAGTCAAAGATTTAAATACAAAGAAGCAAAAAAACACCCAACTGGAAAAGCAAAAAGAATCCAAAAATATGAAGATAGTGTAAGGAGTCTCTGGGACAACTTCAAGCATACCAACATCTGAATTATGGGGGTGCCAGAAGAAGAGAGAGAGCAAGATACTGAAAACCTATTTGAGGAAATAATGACAGAAAACTTGCCCCACCTGGTGAAAGAAATAGACTTATAAGTCCAGGAAGCACAGAGAACCCCAAACAAAAAGAATCCAAAGAGGACCACACCAAGACACATCATAATTAAAATGCCAAGAGCAAAAGACAAAGAGAAAATATTAAAAGCAGCAAGTGAAAAACAGTTAGTTACCTACAAGGGAGCACCCATACAATTGTCAGCTGATTTCTCAAGAGGAACTATGCAGGCCAGATGGGAGTGGCAAGAAATATTTAAAGTGATGGATAGCAAGAAACTACAACCAAGATTACTCTACCCAGCAAAGCTATCATTCAGAATTGAAGGTCAGATAAAGAGCTTCACAGATAATAAAAAGCTAAGGAGTTCAACACCGCCAAACTAGTATTATATGAAATGCTGAAATGTATTCTTTAAGAAGAGGAAGAAAAAAAAAAAGGTAAAGATAAAAATTATGAACAACAAATACATATCTATCAACAAGTAAATCTAAAAATCAAGTGAATAAAAAAATCTGATGAGCAGAATAAACTGGTGAATATAATAGAATCAGGGGCATAGAAGGGAGTGGGCTGACAATTCTCAGGGGAAATGGGTGTGGGGTGTGCAGGAAGAGACTGGACAAAAATTGTACACCTATGGATGAGGACAGTGGGGGGCTAAGGGCAGAGGGTGGGGTGGGAACCAGGTGAAGGGGAGCTATGGAAGGAAAAATGAGGAACAATTATAATAATCTGAACAATAAAGATTTTTTTTTTTTTTTAAGAATTCTTCCAGCATTTTTCTAAAGCTAGGAGGGTCAGGTAAAAAGCCTGATTTAAATGAAGACTCTTCAACTGTCTCCCAGAATCAGTAGAGGCAGCCTAACATGATTTTTTCAGAGCCTGGCAGACTGCCTGGATTCCCCACTTTGCCATTTCCACCTCTGAGCCTCAATGTCCTCTTCTGTAAAATGGGAATAATAGCTGTGCCTCTAACATTGTTGAAAAAACATATGCAAAGTTCTTGGAGCAGCACTGGGCACACAGTGAGTGCTTTTTAACTGCTTACTGTCGTAGCTATTATTATTCCTGTTGTTGTTATTATGAGAAGGTTGTAAGGAGAAGAAAGTTGCTTTCAAATTAGTGGAAAAATTGAAGAATTCTTCCAGCACCAGCATGTGGCACAGGCTGGAGAGACAGAACAATCTGTCAATTCCTTCAAATGATATAAATACTGCCTTTCATTGAATCTAAGACATCGTTAATCCGAAGACATTATTATGTGCCGCTGAGTAAGAAAACAATGACATAATGCCAAAACCACCATCACTGAAAAGACTCATCCCATTTAAGAGACGTTAAATGTGACAAAATAGGCCTTCTAGAAGCAAGCAAACCTGGTAAATAAACATTTACATTGGCAAACCCAGGGCCCGTGCACTCTTGGTGGAGCAGAAAGGGTAGGAGGCGAGAGGTAAGACGTGGCCAGGAGTGGTGGTGTTTAGTTTCGTAACAGAACAGTTCACTTATGCTTCCTTCACATGGCCATGCTGTTGCCTGGGACATAAATTAAGTTGCAGAAGGCTACTGGGTGGCAAAAATAGAAGTCATAAAATTGATATATTAAAGCTTTTATGCATTATACTCCCAGCAGAGTCCCTCGAGCCTTAATTCACAGCCTAATTACTCTTATTTTAGATACATTTCAAACATATTTGATTGTCTGCTATTCCAGGAAGATTGGAGGCAGTAGCGTTTTAAAAAATAATAATTGCAGAACAGAAGGGACTGAAGAGAGGAGAAACCAAATGCAGAATCCGTGTCAGCCAAAGGAGGTAAGGAAGAGCATACAGCAGAGATGGGGAAAAAAAAAAAAAAAAAAAAAAAGATAGAAGGCTGACCCTCCTCTGCCGAGAAAGTGCCTTCCTGAAGTGTACCCCCACGTCCCAGGACCATTTCCTCTCAGTGCCGTCCTGCATCTCCCACAGCGCCGGCCACACAGAAAATCTAAAGCTATTTTAAAATTAAAATTTTATTTAAAAAAAAAACAAAAAAAAAAACCTCAAAATTTCTTTGTACAGTTCTTTGAAAAAAAATTCCCCATGACTCTGATGAAGAGCTGGCCTAAGCTATCAGAGGACAGTGTTAGGAGCCGGTGTTCGAACCAGGCCTGCCTGCGTTCGAATCACTTACTGGAGGGGTGGCCCTGGGCTCACTACATTGCCTCCATGCCTCAGTTTCTCCGTCGGTGAAATGGGCTGCTGTGAAGGTGGAGCAGAGGCTTGAAGCTCCTGGGCAGGTTGGGCTTCAGGGTAGGCACACCGCTAAGCCGACACGTCCCAGCTTCCCTCACAGTCCGGTGGGCCCCTCGTGTGACCTGGTGCTGGCTAAATGGCCTGTGATGTCTGCCACGTCCAGGCCTGGTCCCAAAGGCTCCCACAGAGAATCCAGGGGAGCAAGATGAGGCCCTAGAAGATGATAAAATCATGAAGGGAAAGGAGCTGGGTCCCTGGACAATGACATGTGCCAAGTCCCTGAGCTGAGCTGGACTCTGTATAAGCAAGCCCCTGAACTCTGGGGCCTGTTTGTTACAGCACTTGGTTTGCCCTGACTCACACAGAGGTTTAAATGAGATACGCATATCTAAACTGCTTGGCCCATAGGACATGCTCCATCAATGCTAAAATAGAGGGACAGCCATTCAAATGAGCAACATTTTTAATATATTTTATTGATTTTTTACAGAGAGGAAGGGAGAGAGATAGAGAGTTAGAAACATAGATGAGAGAGAGTCATCGATCAGCTGCCTCTTGCACGCTTCCTTCTGGGGATGTGCTAGCAACCAAGGTGCATGCCCTTGACCAGAATCCAACCCCAGACCCTTTAGTCTGCAGGCTGATGCTCTATCCACTGAGCCAAACTCTTTTGGTTTCGGCCAAAAGAGCAACATTTTTAATGACTTAATTCGTTTTAAAGTCACTTTGTGTCTATTGTCTTATTCCTACAACATGCCTGTGAGGTGGGTAGGTTCTTTTCAGACAAGGTGACTCATCTCAGAGACTAAGTGACTCAGCCCCGGGTTCCCGGTGGCAGGATGGACGAGGGCACCCGGGCCTCCTGGCCTCCAGACCGGCGTCCTCCCGCTCTGCAGGGCCCCTGGAGGAGGTGACGTCTGGTCTGGCCAGCCTGACTGCCAGGCCCGAGGCCTGAGAGGAGGAAGAGGACCAGCTGACATCATCCTGAGAGCGCAGAACCTCCTGCAGCCCGGCAGCGGATCTCCTCCCGCCAAAGCCCAGCCAGTAGCACTGATCACCCATGGCGACCTCGTGTCCCTCAGGTTCAAGGACTGCATCCTCTACCTCCACCCAGGGGCAGCAATGGAGAGCCAGGCAGGTGCTGGCTTATGGACAAAGGCAGGGCTGCCAGCCAGCAAGGCCAGGAACCCAGAGCTCACGCCATGACCCTTCCTCCCTCCCCCAAAGTGACACCACACACGTGGCCCAGGCAGGCCAGTGGCAAAG